CTCTTTCCTAGGGTAATCTGCAATGACTCCCTTGGATTTAGAACCAGTTGAGGTGCCAGATTTATATCCCCACCCAGATTTTCCTTCTTAGTCCTTGACTCTCCTGTCCACTTCCTTTCTTGAAATCCCTACTTAGAGGTTTCATAAACATTCAAACTGAAGGAGTCCAAAATGGGAGCTTTGATCTCCATCCCCAAATCTATTGCTTCCAATAAGTGCCCACCCCCTCATCACCAGGCATTTATCTACTCATTTAAAACATACAAAGTAATAACAAATGTTGGAGAGGTCGTGGGGGAAAAATGATCCCTCATATACTCCAGATGAAAATGTAAATTGGTACATCCACTATGGAAAACAGTATGGAGGTTCTTCAAAAAATTAAGAATAGAATTACCACATGACTCAGCAATCCCTCTTCTGAGGATTTCCCCCAAAGACTTGAAAACATTTATCTGCAAAGGTATATGCACCTAGATGTTCATAGCAGCATTATTCACAGTGGCTAAGATGTGGAAACAATCAACGTGTCCTTTGATAGATGATTAGATAAAGAAGATGTGGTACATATATACCTGGAATATTACTTAGTCATAAGAAAAGATGAAATACTGTCATTTGTGACAACATGGATAGATCTTGATACTATCATACTAAGCAAAATAAGTCAGATAGAAAAAGTTGAGAACCATATAATTTCATTTATATGTGGGATATAAAACAACAAACAAATAAGACAAACAAAAACTCATAGACCCAGACAACAGTTTAGTGGTTACCAGAGGGAAGTGGGGGGAGGTAAATAAGGGTAAAGGGGGTCAAATATATGGTAACTTAAGGAAACTTAACCTTGGGTAGTGAACACACAACGCAATATACATATGATGTATTATTCAATTGTACACTTGAAACATAATTTCTTTACTAATGTCCCAATAAATTTAATAAAAAATAAAAAAATAAGGGGGTGGCTCCATAGTGTAGTGGTTAGCACGTCTGCTTTGCATGCACAAGGTCCTGGGTTCGCACCTCAGGTGGAGCCATGGACCATACCCTGGGTGTGCCATGCCCCGGGTGCACGCAGGGAGCGTGTGGGAGGGGACGAAAAAATAAAAAAATAAAAAATAAAATAAAATAAAACATGTCAAATGTTCACTGTATGTCACCGACTGTTTTGGTTGCTGAAGAAAAGCAGTGAACTGGCATGAATGAACCTGCCCTCAGTGGCTCATACTCCAGACTTGCTCTGTCCGGTGCATAGCCACTGGCCGTAGGTGATTAAGGACTTGCAACGTAGCTAGTCTGAATTGAGATGTGCCGTCAGTGTAAAATACACACCATATTTTGAAGACTTGGTACAAAAAAATGTAAAACGATCTCATTCATTTTTCATATCAATTATTTGTTAAAATAATATTTTGGATACATTGGATTAAGTAAAATATATCATTAAAATTAATTTTGACTCTTTTTAATGTGGATACTAGCAAGTTTAAAATTTCATATGTAGTTTGCATTAATTTTCTATTGGACAGCATGTAGATGGGCAGAATAAACAAGTAAATTAACAAGATAATGGCTTAAGTCGCTTTAACTGTGGTGCCTTGAAGGAAATAAACTAAGAGAAATAATCCTAAACCAGAAAACTGTGTCCTGGATAATTCCTATTTTTTTCTCAGCTCTATCCCAGTGTCAAATTATTTTTAAGGCCTATGGACTCCACTTCAAAACACATCTTAACTCTATCTACTACTATCCTATCTGCTACCACCTTATGTAATCCTTCTGCATCTCGCAAAAGCACTCTGTTAACTCATTTTCTTGCTTCCCCTTTTCACCCTTTCCACCCAGTCCAATCAAGTCCTTTCCACTCTTAATACACATCAATGACATCAGCTTTCTTCTCCAGCTCATTTTGGGGCCCTCTGCCCCAACCACCTCCCACCCTCAACGCATACCACACTGCTCTCCTTTGTCCTGAATCATTTCAAGGACTTTGCCTTTGCTTAAGTTTCAGTTTAAATGTTCCAGACAGCCTCAGAGAGGTCATTTCTTGACTACTCTGTCTCAATAGTTCTCGATGAATCGAAAACCTGAACCCCTACCTTGTTCTTTTGCCTTAATTCCTTTCTTTGTTTGGTCTTTATCTGTTTTGTTCATCACTGTACCCAGCACTAGCACAGCTCTTGGTGTATGATAGACTGATAAATATTTGGTGACAGACTGAAAGAGGAAACATATAAAGACTTAATACTTTGTTTTTTAAGATGAAAGTTCTTATGAGCCATATAGCCCTTGAAATTGTCCCCTCTGTCTGTGTGATGACTATCAACTTACATTTTTACCATTTCTTTTGGAGAGAAATACTTGACCCATTATGTTTTATAGAAAGCAAGTTACTGTTGCATAAAAGATAATTTCCCCATTGTTTAACTTATTTCACAATGTGGAATATACAATATTAACTAAGTACCAAGGATGGTGTTAAATAAAGAACAGACACACAATAGCACCAAAATAAAGATGGATAAAAGTCAACAGGTAACCCTATACAAAGCTTTGTCAAAAAACAAATTCTACGGTATTTTTTGGTATATTTTCTCATGTACTTCTGCATTGCATGACTATTTGGTAAGAGTGGGCGCTGGGGTGCCTTTTCCCCCAGAAGTTGACGTTTGCTCAGTTTTGGTCCTGACCCTATTGATTGGCTCACCCTATTGAGTTTGTTCTGACTCTGAGGTCACAGATTTCTCAACTATCGAGGTTTGGCCAAACGATCCATACTTGTGCATGACTGACATGAGAAGGCACAGCCAACATGAGCCTGAGACAATAAGAATTCTACTCAATAGTTTGATTTTTGAGGAAAGTCCAAAATGGCAGGTTTTAAATTCCTCGTCAGCAAGAAACATGCAAAGGGAGTGAACTGTATGTCCCCAACAACAGAGCTTATTATATAATACTCAAGATGGAATGGGGGAATTTTACTAGTTCCTCACTATTTCCTATTATCCCATCTTGCTCTGACCTGCCCTACCCCTCACAGGGACTTGCCTTTTCTGAAAACCATGTACCATCTGGGACAAATAC